CCTTGATTTTGTGCTGTTTTGGGTTTTGTTGACCGTCTGGAGACGCTCGTCGGTGGGGGGGTACTGTCACGCTCTGCCGGTTGGCCATCCTTTGTGTTGCACTTTTGAGTTTAGTATCTGCCTTAGTATGTTGAGTTTTGGGTTCTGTCCTGTCTAGTGTCCAGTATGTGCTATATAGTCTGCTTGTCATGTCAAGTCTCTCTGTTTTCCTCTGCTCTCTCTCTCTGCCTCGTTAGTCTCATGTCTGTCACCTGTGTTGCTCCCGCCCTGCTCTGTGTCCTGCGTTTGGGTCCTCCAACCTGCCTCCACACCACGACCGTGACACGGAGAGGATTTCCCCTCTGGGAAAAACCCTTGTTCCTTAGCTACCACTGCAGGGGTCTCATGTGCAGCAGTCCAGACGGTATTACGCTGGACGCAGCGCCAGGAGACCCAACACTCGTTAAAAGTGTTTTATAGTGATGGCGTGGCCTAACTTCACTCCTTTCACGGCAGCCAATATGGTGTCGACACGTGCCAGAGACAATTGTGCCCGCATCGTTGTCAAATCCCATACTACCCCTAGGAACGTAGTCCGTTGGGTGGGTTCCAGCACACTCTTCTTTGCGTTAAGCCTCAGCCCTAAATGCCGCAGATGAGCCAGAACCGCCAACTCTTGAGACTGGGCTAGGATGAGCCAGTCGTCGATGCAGTTGAAATCCGGATGCCCTGGAGCCTCAGCGGGGCCAGTGCTGCATCCATACACTTGGTGAATGTGCGAGGGGAAGTGCCAGGCCGAATGGAAGAACCCGATACTGGTAAGCCACACCCCCGAAGGCGAACCTCAGGAACTTCCTGTGAGAAGGACGGATGGAGACGTGGAAATAGGCGTCCTTTAGATCTATCGTGACGAACCAATCCTCAGATTGGATGTGTGTCACGATGGCGGGGATGATGAGCATCTTGAACCTGAATCTCCTCAGAGACCGGTTAGAACCCGCAGATCCAAAATAGGGCGCAGCCCTCCGTCCTTCTTGGGGACTATGAAGTATCGGCTGTAGAACCAGCGTCTCTGTCTGGGGGGGGAGACACGTTCCACGGCCCCTTTCCTCAGCAGAGTACGAACTTTTCTGTCCCAACACCGGACCTTGCTCCGGGCGGACCACAGTCCAAACCACCCCGTTGAATTTTGGAGGGCGGGTTTTGAACTGTAGTTGAAACCCATGTATGGCAGTGCGCAGGACCCACGGAGAAATGTTCGTCAGGCTCCGCCAAGCCTCTGCAAAGTCTGCCAACGGAACCAACCCCTCGGGGCTGGTGGTTGGTGTCTCGTGTGATCTTCTGGTGGACCCCTGAAGCCCCATAACGACAGGGGAGAGCCGGAGAAAGACTCCCCTACCCCGGTCTTCCGGTCTTCCCTGAGCTCTAGTTGGGACTGGATGACGGTCCTAAGATCGCGTCTCTCAGAAGGCTGAGGGTGAGAGCGCCGTCTCGCTGCCCCAGCTCCTTGGGGGGGCCCCCGAGAAGCGACACTCTGCTTCCTCTCCTCTCCATAGGAGCTCGTAGAGGGAAGGGACCTACGCCTGGCAGCCTCAGCTGCCTTGGGTCCAGACCGGCGAGGGAGGTACTGGCGGAACGCTTCGCCCTGCGTCTAACGCTCCGGGGTTCTGCGAAGCTCCACCAGATCTTCCTCAGAGGGACCCCCCCTCTGAACCATCTGCTGTAGCAGGTCGGCTTGGTAGGCTTGAAGCACCGCCATGGTGAGCAAGCTCGCACCTGCCTGGCCCGCTGCCATGTACGCCTTCCCCACGAGCGTAGATGTGGTGCGACATGGCTGGAGGGTAACGCCGGCTCCTCCAGGGAGGACGCAAGTCGAGGGGAGAATAGAAAATAAAAGCTGAAATAGAAGCTGAATAGAAAAAAGCTAATGATGAGTGTGTACAGGTGTGCTTTATACTCCTCCGGTTATTCCGTCACACCTTACCATTCTAGCAACAAGCCAATAGGATTGGAGTGATTTCATTCACGTTCAGACCTGCTTCGCCTAGAGGCGTTCCCATAGTGTCGTAACCGACGCAGTTCGAGTTCCCTCGAAGGGGAACCCAGCAGGATGATTTGGCAATCCAAGATGGAAATACTTGGATTAATCACTTTACAGTAATATTACAAAAAATGATGATCAGTACAAGATATTCACGAAATGAAAAACTCTGGAGGCGGTGATAAAAAACAACCAAAACCCTCTAGATTACCCTGTAACAGAACAAGAATTAACAGAAGTCATACAGTCCCTGAAAGGAAAAAAGGCTTGCGGTATTGATGGAATCCTCAACGAAATGATCAAATACTCAAACCATAAAATCAGATTGGCTATACTAAAACTATTCAATACTATTCTAGCAACTGGAACTTTTCCAGACATCTGGAACAAAGGTTTAATAACCCCAATTCATAAATCCGGAGATAAATATGACCCAAATAACTACAGAGGAATATGTGTATCCAGTAACCTGGGAAAAATATTCTGCAACATCATTAATAAACGACTTGTCAACTTTGTTGATAACCACAATATTCTGCATAAATGCCAAATTGTCGCACAACAGACCATATATTTACCCTCCAGACTCTAATTGATCAAAACATTAAGAAAAGAAAGGTATATGTCTGTTGACTTCCAAAAAAGCCTTTGATTCCATCTGGCACGAGGTTCTTTTCTATAGGCTACTTGAAAGTGGCATTGGAGGAAAAACATATGATTTGATTAAGAACATGTATACAAAAAGTATAGCAAACCAATTAGAGAGTTCCATGGCACCTGGCCTCCTCCTGAACGACACAGAGATGAGAGGTCTGCTGTATGCAGATGACTTAGTGTTGCTCTCACCTACTAAAGAAGGTTTGCAGCAGCACCTTAATCTCCTGCAGAGATTCTGTCAGACCTGACAGTAAACACAGCAAAGACTAAGATAATGATCTTTCAGAAACAATACAGAAATCAGGTTACACACAATTTCTATTTAGACACCACTAAATTACAACACACAAAAAACTACACTTACCTTGGCCTCAACATTACATACACAGGGAACTTCAACATGGCTGTGAAAGATCTGAGGGACAAAGCTAGGAGAGCTTTCTATACAATAAAAAGACACATTATAATATATATTCCAATTGAAATTTTCCAATTTGTACTAGAACCAATAATTCTATATGGTAGCAAAATCTGGGGGCCAAAACTTAATAATGAAATCAATCATAGAATCTTTCCATACTGAGTTCTGTAAGAGCAACCTGCAGGTGTAGAGAAAGACACCAAATAACCTGTGCAGAGCAGAGCTCGGCCAATACGCCCTCCTACTAAAAATACAGAAAAGATCACTTAAATTTTACAATCACTTAAAATCAGTTAGCCCCCAGACATCACCACAAAGCCCTAACATACCAGGAGCTGAAACCAGAGGTCCTGAGGCTCTCTGCAGTAACAAGTCCCCAACAGCCTCAAGACAGCAACACCAACTCAAGCAGACCAAACCAAATTATCAGCAAGCAGAAAGGAAAATGTATTGAATACTGGAAAGAAACGACCAAAACACAAAGTAAATTACAATGTTATCTGACCCTAAAAAGAGAATTCACACTGGCAAATTACCTGAGTACAATAAAATGTCCCAAATTAAGAAAAATGTTGACAACAAACAGACTGAGTGAACACAGCCTGGCCATAGAAAAGGGTCGCCACAGACAGAGCTGGCTACCACAAAGGAGAGACTCTGCTTGTGACAGGGGACAGGTAGAGACAGAGCTGCACGTTCTAACCTCATGCCCTAAATATAAAACACTAAGACAAAAACACTTTTTTATTTCCCAAATATACCCCAAATTCGAATTCATATCAGACACAAAGAAACTCCCCTGTTTACTGGGAGAAGTACCCAAATGCGAAATAATTGCTGCAAAATATGTCTCCTCATGCCATGAAGTGAGGACAACCAGTGGAACCTCAGACTAACAAATAATTGTACAGATTTTCAAATTATTATTTTGATCATTTGATATTTTAGTAATTGTTTTGTTTTTACATTTGATACTGGTTTCTTTTTTTTTTTAATCAATTAATTCTTTAAAAAAAAAATTGTCTATTAATATATACACACACATTACTGTTTCATTTATTTATTTATTTTATTTTTATATATATTTATTTTTTAACACAGACACACACACACACTTACCGTTTTATTTATTTATTTTATTTTAATATATATATATATTTTTAACACACACACGCTTACTGTTTTATTTATTTATTTTATTTTAATATATATTTTTTAACACACGCTTACAGTTTTATTTATTTATTTTATTTAAATTTTTAATATTTCTTTTTTTTTCTTTTTTTAAACACACATACGCTTTGATTACTTTATATATAATATATATTTACTTTACTTTAATTACTTGTTAAATGTGTGGGGCTGATTGTTCTTATGTTGTATATATGATGCTTTGGCATCATTTTTATTACATTCATGCCAATAAAGCTAATTTGAATTGAATTGAATTGGTGCCTGACGATTAAGAGCTTTGTAGGTGAGCAGAAGGATTTTAAATTATATTCTAGATTTTACAGGAAGCCAGTGCAGCGATTCTAATACAGGAGAAATATGATCTCTTTTCCTGGTTCTTGTCATTACACGTGGCGCAACATTCTGGATGAGCTGAAGAGTCTTAATGAGTCTTGGACTTATTCGAACACACTGATAATAAAGAATTGCAGTAATCCAACCTAGAAGTGACAAATGCGTCGACTAATTTTTCCGCATAATTTTGAGACAGGATGTTCCTGATTTTTGGAATGTTACGTAGGCTTCAGTTATCTCAAAACAAAAGAAGAAGAAGAAAAACTGAGACAGTTATTAGTCATTAAATACAACAATGAATGTCACAGCTGTATATTTCAGAAGAACATACTGCAGGAACAAAAGCAAATATGAAGAACAACAGTTTTGTCGTTTATCATTCACAGCTTTATTTTACATGAACATAACATTTATCAACAATGCTGAACTCAGAGAATGATCTAAAACACACACACTTATTCTTAGTCTTTAGACTAAAATTAGCTCCATCAACGTCAGGACGGTGCAAACCATCATAGACATAGAACCAATGATGGGAGTAGATGAGTCTGGAGCAGAAGAAAAAAAAAACATTACTTTTCCATTTGCAATCACACATCAGTACTGACAATTTAGAGAGCTGTGAGATAGAGCTCAATTACCACGCAGTGTGTGGAGCGCAGAGGTTTCTAAACCAGTGACAGCATTTTGGGCGGTACAGGTGTAGCTCCCCAGGTGCATCTCTTCCATCTCATGGATGTAGTGCAGGGGCCCGTACATCTTCATGTGTTTGAACGTCCAGAAGAAAGTTGCCTTTGGTAGGGAGTCAGCAGAGCAGCTAAGAGTGACACTCTCTTCAAGTTCTGCTCCTATTGGCCTCTGAATGATTGTTGGTTTGTCAGGTCCATCTGAACGTTTGAGGAAGGAGATTATTAGGAAGATAACAATTATGATGAGACTGAAGTAGTTAGCCTTTTCTATGCACTTAAGTAATGATAAGCGAATATTCAAAATCAGGAAATGTGTAATTGAAAATACTCACAATAGACTTTCAGTCTGCAGTTAGCTGTATCAAAACTGAAATCATTGCTGACATTACAAAGAATCTCTCCAGTGTCTCTCCTGTCGACAGGGCTGATAGACAACACTCTGTTGCTGTCGTAAAAGCTGAATCTCTCTCCAGAAACCAAAGGTCGGCCGTCTTTCATCCACACTCAAGCCGTCAGCATTGCAGGTTAGGTTCACAGAGGTTTTACCTTCTATTACGTTTTCTGTGGGGCAGGCCATAGTGGGTCTTGACACTTTGGCTGTGCACAAAAAATGTATACAAACACAAGAGACTTGTTGACACCACACCTAAGCAACATTCATTGTGCATTCTTAAAACAGACATCTTAGCAGTGCAGTATTACAGTAAAATAAATATGTTGATACTACAAAGCATTGTTTTCAGTTCCTTCCTAACATTAAAAACAGTGTCAGATAAATCTATCTTACTCACTCAGCACCTCCAGTTTGACAGTTCCTTGAATCTGCTCCGCTCATATGGGATGATGAGTAGTTCATATTCTCCGCTGTCTTTTTCAGTCAGGTTCATAAGCACCAGAGATCCAGTAGACTTTTCTAGGACGATCCTGCTCTCATAGCCTTGTCCGACTACATCTACACTGGTTGAGGTTATTACATTGGTGGTCCCATTGAAGCTCCAAGTTAATGCCAGAAACGGTTCAGCTGTTGGTTTTACAGATGTTTTAAAGGTCACGCTCTCCCCTGCTGCTCCACGGAGGGAGTCAACAGTGAGTACACCGGCTCCATAGCACAGACCTACTGAAATATGAACATAGTTAACATTTCACAACCTGTAGTTCTATTGATAAAGAACTTTTAATACATATCTTACCTGAGGAGAGGAACACAAGTATGGTTGACCTGAGAAACGTATAGTTCATGATTTGGTTGGACCTCTTCTAATGTTATCTGACCTTCTGCTGTCTGTGTTTGTGCAACAATAGAATAAAAGCTAAGATTATCTGCAATAAATGAAACGTCATCAAGACGTCCACAGGCTTGACATGCTTAATTATTACCTTCATCAACCCTTTGTTATCGTGGCTCTTCAAACTGCATGTTCGGAAAACCAGAAATGATGCTTCTTATTTACTATTACACACAGTTTGTTGACTTAGTTGATAATGTGAGAGGTATTAGGGACTAGACTCTAAAGCCATGCTAGTAGCTCTGTGATGCAGCTCTGTTGTATGTAGGCATAGCAGTGCTTTGAGCTAAATGTTAATCAGCATACTAACATGCAGAAGAAGAAGAAGACATACTTTATTCATCACACAAGGGGAAATTCAATATTCTCACTCTGGTGTTATTATTGTTATTAGTATGCACAGGTCTGAAATACACACACATGCAACAACACATGGAGAGATGTCAGAGTGACAGGGCTGCTACTCAGTGCGGCGCCCCGTGCAGCTGAGTGTACAGGGGCTTGCTCTCAACAACAATGTTTACACGATGACAATATATTTTGCACTTTTCAAAACAAAGCTGTTTCGAATGAACCAGGATAGACACATGCAATTAGGAAATCAGAGAATTATATAACCCAAAAAACAAAATACCACACTGGGTGGTTCTATTTAAAAACTCTTCACAAATTATATGGACATTAACTTTGCTTTATGCACTCCTATAAAATTAATAATTTTAAAGATAATATTTAACTTAAGATAAAAAGTCTGATTGTGCCTAAAACTGTTGCTTAATTCCTGAGAGTAAAATATACAGGACAATATCCTGCTCAGTAAATTACTTCAATACCACTTTGCTCCATGTCTTTTATCCACCAGACTGCCAGAAGTTAGACCACAAAAAGGCACGGATATCGGCGGTGCGGGGCGGCAGAGTGGTGGGGGAAGGGGATTACGGTAGCAATCTTTACTCATTACCATTGACGGCAACGTTGCCTTGAATGATTGCTTTAAAAGTTGCTCTGTGTATCATCAGCTTTATATTTAAAGACTGTTACATATTCAGTTGCTGTAAAATCACATGACAGAGAAAGAATTAACATTTTGTGTCGCAGTTTTCAAAATATATTGATGTATATTGTTAATTAGCATAATGTCTTATCCCAACCCAATATTCTTCCATTAATTTACAAAGTTGAGGCTGGACACAATAAAGAACAGCAAAATAAAAGCAAAAATTAGAAATACTCTGTAGAAATGCAAAAAGTACAAAAATAATGCAAACACACCAGAAATGGTGCAAGGAAAATAACCACTTTCAACTAAATATATTATGTTTTAAATGTAAAAGGACTACAGCTTACTGGAGCTTTTTACTGTGTTTACACTCTTTATTTTGGGTTTGAAGACATTTCACTCTCACAAACACTGTTTACGGCAGATATTTACTATGATAAACCCAATGCATATGCTACCTGCTAGAGAAGGAATATTTAGTGGCCAGAAATGCAGCAGAAATGCTACTGTTATACTGTACATATGGATAAATGGCAAATGTTTGCTAACACATTAGCTATAAAAAACAATAATGTGATAATATATCAGGGCTGCTATGTGTCATTATGTTGTGCTGCCTACAAGTGTCCAAAAAGTCACTTAATTCAACTTTAAGCACATTTATATGTCTGTCAACAAGACTTTGAAATACACTGTAATTCTGTTACTGTTACGTTTTGCTGTGTTGTAAATTATTTATCTAAAAGAAACATAACCCAAACACAGAAGAAACAGTATGAATTCTAAAACAAAACAACAACATTGGTGTCTCTTCTTTTCTTGGTGCAGGTGAAAACATTTTTGTTTTCTGATCATCTGCAGGACAAAAATGTAAACAACTGATTTATTAGAGAAATAGAAAATATAGATATATATAAATAGAAATTAGAGAGTTGCTGTTTTGATCCAAACAGAGTTAAACTGATTTCTACAGAAACAAAACCTCTTTGTGCGTCTCCCTTCAAAATACATTTAGGCCTTTTCACTAAATAAGTTTATATGTTCTCATATACCTCTGAAGTGTTCTCATACATATGTTCTTCTCATTCTAGGCAAAAAAAGTAGCTTTGTTACATACATTTCATAACTCAATATTTATGATTGTGATTCTTTCAGTTATTAAGTATTTATTTATGACTGTGTTCGTTTAGCTCAGTTGGTAAGGTGCAGGACTCTCACTTAGATGGTTGTGAGACTAATCCCATGTTCGGTTAAATCCCGACCCCCTCTTTAACAAATTGATTATGAACTGTTTCACATGCTCATAATAAAGCATGTGTGGCAGTGTGTATGTTCCGCATCCATCAACCTACAGATGCTTTTTTAGTATCTTCAGGCAGAGGACATTTAGTGGAATCATGTTCTCTTTCAAACATTCGCACGGTATCTCACTATGGGGTACGCCCCTTTGCGTAGTCCTCAGAAGGCCAACACGCCAGCCACTACTGGCTGGCAGTTGTGACGACTGCATTAGGAGGAGTGAGGTCCTCCCCCAATAAGAGGGATGATGCGGCGTCATAAGCTCATTCAAAAACCTCTTCTTGCTTTTCACTCAGAAAGCTACATCTCTCAACGCGACTTCTAAAGGGAACATTGGGTTAACTGTCCATAGACTGAGCTAACCATTCGATCGCCGGGCACTAATTGTTCTGTGTCGTGTACGGAATCCTGATTTCTTCGCCATAGAAATCCAGGATTTTCAGTGAGAAGTCTTTTACGCTGTTGTTGCTGCCTCCATACAACTAACTGTAGCTACTTTGTTACTCTGTTGCCAAAGTAACACCAAGCACCTTAGCCCAGCTAGCCACCTCACTATTGTTAGCTAAGTCTGCTGTCACATTAGTTAGCAACCAGCTAGCCTCCACACTAGCAGCTAATTGTTGCTAATTTCTGCTTTGACTATAAGTCGCTTACCATGGTGCTCTCGAATCTTAACATACCGGCAGATAGCACACCAGCTACACCGCTGCTTGCCCCGCGCCAGCGATAAAACCCCTACCACGGGATTGCGTATGCAGGGCTAAGATATCGGCTATGGATACTCACCTAATATGTGTGGCCTGTCTAGGCCTGCAGCATGCCCGAGCGGTGCTGGACACACCCGGCTCATGTGAACATTGTAGCTGTTTCACTCTCAAAAGTCTCCACCGTCGGCTGTCACGCAAGGCAAGCCTCGGCACCTGGGACCCACTGCTAGCATCAGCGGCCGCACCGACGGAGTATGACGAGCCGGCCATTTTGAGCACTAGCTGGGACACTCCCTTGCCCGTGGGATTCGATGATTGCATGCCAGCTGATCATTTCGATTCTCTACTGGGAGATGATGAGTCTGGCAACTCCGACGTCTCGGTCGACATTCTCTTATCTGAGGGGGAGGACGATGATGGTCCCTCTTCCCCCCACTCACCAGAGGCATGGACCTGCATTAAGTGTGCTGGAGGGCGGCTGAGAAGCTGGATATCCCATGGCCCAAGGTGCAGGCGGAGACTTCTGTATCCTGCTATGAAGGGAAAAGGCTGCCAAAAGCCAAGCGGGCAGCTAGGCAGCTTTTACCCATATTCCCTGAGTGCCTGGAGGAGACTGTGTGCTGTTGGGAGAATCCCTTTTCTGCTGCTAACCCTGTCCAAGGGGGGTTGACCTTTGATTGTGTGGAAAAAAGGCATTTACCACATGCCTCCAATTGAACCTCTAGAGGCCTCACACCTACACCCCACTCAGAAACTGACAATGTCTTCCTCTGGCCCCACCCTGCCCACCAAGGTTGATCGCTTACAGTCCTCTATGACTGATAGAGCTTATAAATTGGTCGCCACATCGGTTAGGGCTCTGAATGCCTCCTCTCTTCCTCTCCTGGCATATCAGGCTGAACTGCAGGAACAGATGACCGCCTTACCAGCATCTGAGTTGTGGGAGGAAATCTGTGTTATTATTGACCACTGCCTCCATATCACCAAATGCGCTGTCCAATCAGCAGGGAGGGCTATGTCCACCATGATTGCCCAAGAGCGAGCTTAACCTCTCTGATCTGTCTGACAAAGCGTGACATCCTGGATGAGGACGTGGACCCCAACGGGCTGTTTGGCACTGCTGTTGCTACCATGCAAAAGCGACTCCTCGCCGGGCCTTCACTCTAGCTGTGGCTCAGCAGGTCAGTGGCACAGCCTTTAAGATCCCAAGATGCCCAGCCCCTCAGCCCCCAGCGCAAACACAGCCCGGCCCACCGCAGAGGGGGCCTTGGCCAAAGAAATCGCGGCGGTGGCCCAGGGGGCCCTCCAGCTCCAACCTCCTCCCAGGGAGTAAGATGGAAGAAGCGATCCTAGTCATTTACACTTCTTCAGCTCCGTTCCTGAGCCTGTGTCAGAGTGTACCTTCCGTGCAGCGTGCAGGGCCAGAGTTGGCACCTACAGTTCCCCGCCCTACAAAGAGGAAGAGAGACTGTTCACAAACAGGAGCTGTTCCAATGCTCCCTGTATGTCTCACAAGCACTGTCATGTGTCCCAAATCAATA